GAGGAGGAGGAGGAGGAGGAGGAGGAGGAGGAGGAGGGGGAAGCGGGCTAGGCGCATTCCAGACATTACACCGTGCAAACATGTCAAAAATCAAGACACTGGCGCCGCGTCATCAGCATTTGACTAGGTTCCTACTTTGGTCGTCTGGCTCTTCGGATGTAAGCCGCGGATTTTGCGGTAAGACTGGTGGGAAAGGCATACCGGATACCAGAAATGAGGCCTTCCGTGCGGCCCAGCCCCAAGCCGGGCCAGATGTGGACCCCAAAGCAGAGAGGATGCCGGAGCAAACGTCCCGGTTACGGTGCAGCTGTCCTTGGACGGGAGCTAGTGGCGTATCCGCGGGTGAAGGATCAAAAGTCAGCCAGCCCACTAGCTGGTCCAGCTGCGCCCCTGCCCGGGAGCCTCTGCGTTGTATTTTAGAGTGGGGAAAAGCGAGCCAATTATATCCAAGTCTCCTTCTTAAAAAGGAATGTGGAGCCTGGAGTGCGCGGAGCCATTCCGATCGAATGAGTGCCCGCAGTGCGTGCTAGCTGGCCGGCTGTCCATTTTCCCGCAGCGATTGGCGCTTCGGCAGCCAGGGGGTAGGCAGATTTTCTCCATTTCCTTGGCTGCTACGGAAACTATTATTACAAATTCCGCCATAGAAAGCCAGGTAGCTGGCCCGCTGCTTATAGGGTCTTGTCGGTAGGCGGAAGCGGCAACCCAACTGTTGTCGGTTCCCCCTGCTGGGTTGGCTGAATCGCCCGCCGCTCTCTGAACGCCCGATAACATTAACCCAAATGGTGGCGGTGCTTGCAGCAAGCACTAGGAGGTCCAATTGGTGTGATATGCCAGCTACGCCTGGTGCCAGGAACAGGGCATTGGAGTGGATCCTGCAAGTTTGAAGCTGTTGAGACGGCCCTGCGCCGGCCACACACCACATCATCAAGGAGGGCAATCGAGCCCCAGCTTCCAAAACAAAACTTAACCCAAAGTAGCCGCAAGGAGGACAGCTATGGCGGCTGTCAGGTCCTATAGCATTGTTAAGGGGTGGACTGTTTGTAGACTGGGTATTCAAATTCCATTTTGTTTTTGCTACAGCGACTAGGTCAGCAGCCCACAACAGCACCAGCCACCTCCACATACATCGCTAAACCGCTCCAGACGGCAGCAGCAACAGCCCCCTGGACCAACCTCAAGGAAGGCGGTAGCGCAAGCACGGGCAGTGCAAGCGCATCCTTGCTTCTTTCTGGAGGCGCTGCCTAGTTTCTACTTCCAGCTGCTGCTGAGCGCAGCGCAAAGGGGTGGCGTGTTGCCGATGTGGTCGCGGATGACGTGGAAGAGCAGCGAGCGCGGGGCCGAGGCCTTGTCCTTGGGGAACAGCTGCAGGTTGACCCCGAACACCGTTTTGAGCAGGCCCATGTTTGCGCCCTGGTATAGGCCGACCTGGTGCTCTCAAATGTTGACAATGAGGACCTCGCTGGTAGCCAGGGCGAAGAGGACGCTCTTGCGCTCAAAGTCCTGCCATGGCCAAAACAAAGGGGTGCCGGATCTCGCTTTCGGTCTGGCTACGAGCTTTGGGCTTTCCACCTCGGCAATAGTTCGCATCGGAGACTGCCACGACTTGTCCCGTCCGTCCTCTGGAGGCGCTGTGGCGAAGCGGTTTCGGGAGTTGGCCGCCTCTTCCAAGCGTGGACGAGTATGCATTACGGACGGAGCTCGTGCACACATTCAACATTCCTCACGTCGAGGACAGTGGTCCGGATGGTACTTCCTGCCCAAGTTTCGCTTTTCTGCTCTCCATTTTGGACTCGAGCGACGGGGCTGGCCGGCAAGCAGCCAATGAGGGGATATGGCAGTTCTCAACCGGCAAGTGCAGAAGCTCCGCCCTTATTTTTGTCGAGGCTCGGGCTTCCTGGTCTTTGTTGTCGCGCTGCACCTTGTTAATGGCCCTTGCTATATCAGATTGCAGGTCTGTGTCCTGAACGATAAAGGCTGGATTGTTGGCGAGGCGGCTGTAGCGAAGACCTGGCTGTTAGATAAAAACGAACGTAAAAAAGGTGGACAAAGAGAAAGATGCAATGGTAAAGGCATGCAGAGGGCGTATGATACACTTTATAGGTAAAAATCGCCCACACTTTTGGTGGCCACGATGGAGGGGATTCCGGACAGCGACACGTCCTGGTTTCCCGCACTAACCGGCGACAACGTTAAGTTAGAGTTATTGGAACAGCCGGTTAAGGCCACTTCTCACTCGGGGCGCGTGGGGCAAGTGGTGGCGACGGGGCCCTACATGCATGGACATGTCGACGACAGAACAAGTACTTGGGTTTCCCGCTGCTACCTATGGGCCAAAAGCCAAGGCTAAGAAAAAGAAAAAAGCAGATGACGTCCAGATGCTCACATGACCAGCCGCAGCAGTTGGACTTTGCACCAAACCGCCAGCCTAACCACCGGCAGCTCGGGGTCTGGAAGGTCACCAGAGGGAGAGAGCAGCACATTCCAATGCGCAGTACAAAACAAGTACATAACGACCAGCATCAGCAAGTCCAAGCAAAGTTTGGCGACGAAGTAGTAAAAGTGGAAGCCGCGCAGCCTTGTCATCCTTAACGCCTCCCCGTTGCTCATTGCAAGCTGCGAACCGTATACAACAAAACATTAGCAAAGAAAAACAAACGGCTAATGGGCGGGAAAGCTGAACTGGAAAACCTGCCTTGCGAGGAGTGGCCTGCAAAGGGATGGGCGTTCCCTTGAAGAGCAGCCACATGCCGCCCTCTTTGCGGTTGACGGCGCGGCAGAAGGGTTCGATTAGATTCTGAAGGGCAAAGTCTCGGTGGACGTTGACACTTTTGATAATCTCCTGGTCGTTTACGACCCAGATGGTAATGATGTCGCTGTTTGCTGCTGCCTGGCTGCCGGCGGGACGGGCATCGATGGGACTCGGCCCAGGAGAGTCAGCGGCCTTTTTGGCGCTGCGGGCCTGACGAGGCCCAACTGCCACACTTGGAGAGCTCGGTGTGGTTGCCGGCGCCGGCGCGCGTTTTTTGTCGGGTGGCATGGCACTGCTGCGCAAGCGATCCTGTGTCCTTTTCTAACGTTAGCTAAGGCATGCAGATAAAGACGCTGGGACTGAGAAGCCCGCGTGATATATCCAGGCTGGACAAACGACAGGCCGCGGATGGGGCTAGCCAGGGGCAGTGGGCTCAAGGGAATGGATTCTCACACAGCTCGAAACAGCCGGGCGTTGAAATGATAACCAGTAAAGTTTGGGTATTTGCAGAGAGAGGTGATTTCGATTGAGCGTTTGCGTGGAAAACGCGGGAGGTATGTAGGTAGGGCGATGGGCTTTGCACGTGACTTTTCAAGCCTCCCTTGTCCTCCCTGCCGGGGGTGCGGCAAGTCGGGCTTGCCGAATCGCGCTGCCAGGCTGCTTTCAGAGAATAAAGAAGGCCGCCAATGAGCCGGCCGCTTTCGGAGTATCCCGTCGTGCCTAGGCCTGGACGTATTTTGCCCCGGTGTCAAGGCACCCAGAGGCTCACGTGCCCACGGCTCCTGGCTGTGCCTCCTCCAGGCCTCGCACCACTACCGCAATCATCCTCTGTTGCACCACTTTCTTCGCCATGCCCTCGTCGTTGTAATACCCGGCCTCGTCCCGAGCATGTCCTCGCTAGGTACCATTGGGGCCACGAAAAAGCTGCCCGGTTATTTCTCATTTCCGAGTGTCTGGAATGTGACGACGGAATTGCCGGTCATGTCATTCCAGCCGTCATCCCTGGCCCCCACGGCCTCCATGCATTTGACATTCCAGTGCCTCTCAGGCCTGGTGCCGGATTTGCTGGGCTTAGCAAGCCAGCGGCGCACAGCGGGGCAAGGTGCGCATCTTACGCGCGCAGCAGGGGGCTTGCCAGGAAAACCATTGACATGCCCAAATGTTTGAATACGCGACGAGCAGTAGAGCCTGCCGTGCGACCGCCTACCGAAAGGGATCCTTAAACCGTTGTTATGTTCACCGCCAAAAAGACGAGAACCAAAAGCCCCAAACCCTGGTGCTGTGACATGTTATCACCTTTCGAGCAAAATGCTGAGACTAGAAGGGGCGGCTGCAAGCGGCGGCTTGCACAGGACCGATAGCACGCAACAGGCAACGGCCCAGCCTGGATTTGCTTAATTTCCGTGCGGGGCCAGCTGCAGCCAGGAGGCTGGCACGACCTTTGGGTGAACAGCTCAGGCGGGCTAGGAATGATATGCAGCCTGCGCTGGCCGCAGGCATTCGAGCACGCTGTTAGTGCGTCCTTGAGAAGCCGGCCGCAGAGCCGAGCAGAAAATCCGCATGGCTTAGCAGTGCGGCGGCACGGACGAAAACGGGTGTGTTTGGCGCGTTTGTTTGCTCCCTGAAAACAGCAGCGATGCGGCCAGCCCCTTGGCACTTGTCCCGGCGGCCCCGCGAAATCTCCCTCGCCTTTTCCACCTTGTGCCTTTCCAATACCTGCAAACGGCCATTCTCTTAGGTGGTTGTGCATGCCTGCCCGAAAAACGCCAGCAAGAAAGTGCAACCCCCTTTCTTCCACTAGCGAGCTCTTAACAAGGGCCAGCCGCCATCCTGCCGCCACGTTGAGAGCATCGAGTAGACGTGAAGCCTGCCGGGCATAAGCAAAGCTTGCCGAGTACGTGTAAAGCGTGCCAGGTGCACGTAAAGCTTGCCGAGTTCATAACAGTACCATCCCTGGCTTGAGGTTTCCTTGTTACTGACGATATATGGTGCCGGACGCCAGACTGCCAGCCTAATCCCAACCAGATCAGCCCTAATTCGACGTATTTCCCTGATGTACAATCTCAGGTCTCGGAACCGCGGGCGCGCCGCTGCCCAAGGCACAGCCCAGGACGCCGGCTCCCCTCCTTCCCCGGCTCCGGACGACGGCGAGGTTTCCACCAGCGACGAGACTTCCACCAACGACGAGGCAGATGACAACACAGCATGCCCTCCCCAAACAGACGAGTCCTCGACATCTATCGTTTTTGGCGACGACTTGCCCACGACTGTCTATCGCTGGAACACAAAGCTTGCTCGAGGATCTTCCTGTCCTACCGAGCTCCGATTCCAGCCCCGTATGCTCTGCGATGACTCGGGCGACTCGGAGGCCGACTCGGAAGCCGGCTCGACTGCCGCCGAGATATCCGTCTGGCGCGAGGGCGAGCTTGTTGTCCACCTAGGCGACCTCCACGCGGTCCCGCACCTCACCAAAACCAGCACCGGGAACTATCTGGTCGATGGGCTGCGCTTCCTTTTCTGCTCTGTGCCTTGGGAGGCGTGGCTACTCTCTCTGCTCCTGCTCCTCCTTTGGAGGTGCTGGGCTTACACCATCAAACCTGAGCTCGAAGACGCCAACTGCATCCTCCCTGCCGCCGAGTATCTGCACAATTCATCAATCGCGCTCATCCACATCCTTGTGCCGTTGCTCAATCCTTTCACCATCCCCGACATGAACATTGCGCTGGAAAACAGGGCTTTGGCGCAAAAGTTGCTGCACCACACGGAGCACCCTTTAACCGAGCTCAATTATGATCTGCGCCGCGAAACCTGGGACGAGAATAGCCAGAGGCCAGACTTGGAGGCACTCGTACGTCAATGCTGTGATGCCATCACCAATCTTGAAAGGGACTTGGTCTTCCCAGACGAGGAAGAGAATAGTCACATGTGGTCTCCTCGGTGGTGGCTGGAACAACTCAGGCCCAGAATCGAGCAGAACCAGCAAAAGATGCGGGACTTACAGGACCATCTGGACGGCGGCCACATACCCGAAGGTCTGGATGAACATGTATACAGGCACTTCCGAAACGGCCCCTGCCGCCCGGCACCGGATCAGGATCTCGACGAAATTGGACATCATTTGGCCGATACTATTAGCGATGTAGCGCGAACTTGCGACGCGCTTTTGAAAAAGCTCGCCTCTGTTCGAGAAAATCTGGGAATCCTAGCCTATGGCCTACCTTACATCGTCGATGGGTATACCGACTGGTGGCAGAAGAAGTACGGATCCCCGAAAAGCACCAAGTAAGTTTTTTGGCTTTTGATCCCTATCACTTCGGAACTTCGCCATGGTCGCTAACCATATATTTACACTGGGAGCAGTCTTGTAAACAAGCTCCTCGGCATGGATTCCACCAGCACGAATTTCTTTACGATCGTAGGCGACATTTACCTGCCCTACTTCGAGCACGTATTGAAGCATGTCGCAGCCGCCCATGAGCAAGCAGAAGCCCCCTGCACCAGGCTTTCCGAACTGCGTGCCGCCCTCGACCGCGCTGGTTTTTCGGCGACCGACTCTACACGTTCAAGGGCCCGAGGATTCTTCGACGGGACCGTTCCGGCGCTCCCGTTCTGGCACAAGTATGTGGAGCTGGACTCGTCGCCTCCGTCTCTCAAATGCCGGCTGCTCGACAAGCCTTATTCGACCATTCAAGCCCTGGGTGAGGTGCTCACTGTGTTTGATTCACGGGTTACCAGCGAGGTGATCCTAGACAAATACGAGATGCAAAACCAAATGATGGTAGAAAAGTGGCAAAAAGAGAGGAAGAAAAACGCAAAAGAAGAAAGGAGGAAGGAGCGAGCCAAACTGCGGTCAGAGGCGAAGGATTCTGGTTTTGGAATGCAGAAGCTCTATGAGGATTACTATGGCTGGCTCAGGGAGTGAGCGCCATTGTCACACCTCGCGAACGAAATAGGGACACGGGACTGGTGCACAAGGAACAAGCGTCATTAGATTATTTGCCAATGGAAATCGTGCAACGGAATCGCCCCCAATTTATGCTTCCCTCCCGTTTTGTAAGCTACCACAGAATGTCGTCGAAAGAATCAAGGCTTGCTCTGCGGTTGTCGGCCACGCGCTCTTGCAAATGCCCCCCGTTCGGCACCCCCTCGGGCGTAAGGGGTTTAACACCAATCTAAAGACCTAGTGCAGTCAGTATGGTGGAGCTTGGGCTAATCCATAGCAAGGCAAGCTCGACGTCTGGATGCCACTTACTACCAAGGCGCTCTTGCTAGCAGAGACAAGGTCGACTGCGGCGGGGACCTTGGCTTGTGGAGCCGTGGGTCGACGGTCGCCGGGCTCGCAGCACTCGAAAGAGTCGGCGGTGACGTCTTGGGAGCAATCCAGACAAGCCCGCCCGACGGAATCCGCCTCTGCTTTGTTTCGGACCGCCTTGTCGGACCTTCCATCGCTCTCTGCTGTCCGCGGGGCTCAGCGGGCTCGGGCCGTTGACGGCTTCCCGGTTTAGGGGTAGCTCTTGGACGAACACGCCAAGCTGCATCTTTATCAGCGAGCAAAACATAACCTCGCCAAAGTATTTGCCCTGGCCATTCCTGGCAACAGTGCGTGGATAATCGATGACATTTCGGACGTGGGGGAAGACCTGGCCAAACGTTTTTTCGTCGAGCTGTTGCATCAAAAGCTTTTAGAGCTCGTTTTTGTCGTCGACTGCCTCGCCCATGCAGAGTTGTGCCAACCTGGGATAGCGGTGAAGAGGATCGAATGCAAATAACTGGTGGACAAAAACGTGTTAGAAATTGCGTTGGCCAGGCAGTCGTAGAGACACTGCCGGGTCGGAGAAGGTGCAGACTTACCAAGGTGCTTTTGAACATTGCGTCTCTGTGTCTGCGACAGAGGTGGAGATAGTGCTCGTGGAGGCACACCCACTTGACGTCGCCAACCCGGCTGGCGCCCGAGGCGAGGATTAGTGACAAGCGAAGACGTTGCAATGCCATAGGAAAAAAGGAAAGGGCCGCGTTGAAGACGAGCCTATCATACTCGTCCTGCCCCAGAAAGCCCGGGAGGGGACTCATTGGGCGAACGACAAGCTTGGTCGCCGCCTCGTTTGGCGGCTCGCCCGCCCCCCCACCCAGGCAGCCAGCTTGTCTTGTCTGCCCTGCTCGTTAAGCTTGACCTTGGCCTCGAGCAGCTCGAGAAGCTGTTTGATCATACTCCGGTCCGGTTCGATATTTCCGATGGTTCTTGCGTTCGGATCGTGGGGGGAAAAGATAATCGTTTGCCCAAGACTTCGTCTGGCGATGGATGATGACTTGGGCGTCGAAGGAGGGCTACTGGCGTCACGATGGCTTAGCCGGCGCCTCTTGTGCGTGGAGTCATGGCCCGAGGGGTCCGCGTTATCCTCGGACGGCACAAAGTCGTCCTCTTCCTCGTTCTCAAAAGGCAATCTCGTAGACCGACGGGCTGTTGGTTCCGGGAACAGAAGTTTGTTGACGGGCTGCAGCCGTAAACAAAGATGGTCAGCTTCAGCAGGTAGCAGCAGCTGGGTCTTTCGTCGGAAAATGCTTGCTGTGTTGCCGATGTGCTTGCGCGTGCCGGCCTGGGGGCGCTTGGCTAGGGTCGAGGCAGGAGATCTCAATCCAGTACCTCTTCGGCAGGGCGTGCGCGGGGGCGTCGATGTCGTCGTCGGTAGTGGCTGTAGATAAGTTGAGCATTGCAAGCGTCAGCCAGCCTTGAGCGAGACAAGATCAATAGGGGAGAATGGTGGTGGGCTTTACTAACATGCTTCCGCGGGCGGCCTCGGCGCCGCGGGGTTTTTGTAGAGAGCTGGACGCGGCTGTCTTCTCGGTCCGTCGCAGCTGCTGCTGGGTGCGTTCGCGTTGGCGAGGCCCTGACGGCCCCGGCCCGAAAGAGCTGGAAGTTGTGGAAAGACGGGATTAGTAATGAGTTCACAGAAGCGAGGCCGCGAGCCGTTCCGCTTAGTCTTCATCATGCTGCTCGTCGAATCCTAGATCGAACTAAGTGTCAAAACGAGCTTGGCCTACCGCGGCTTTATTGATGCCGTGGGCACCGCCTGGCTGACTGCGTTGGGGAACGCTGCCAATTACAAGCGGTCAGTCCATGGCTGAAGAACATCGAGCAGAAAGCAACCAAAGGGAGGGTTCGGAAGTCTGTCCTAAATGCTTGTGGAAGTGGTCAAGAAGGAGGGGCCATGCCACCCGAGCGGTCATTACAGCCTAGTCCTTTTTGGCACCCCTGTCCTCGGCCGAGGCCTGCTCAAGCAACCTGGCGTCTGGACCCCTCGGGAAAGCCCAACTGCCACACCACCGCGGCGGCACCGTCCAAGTCATGTCAAGACGGCGTAATAAACTCGCTGGGATTACAAAAATGTGTCCGACCATAAACGGAGAGACCAGGCAGAACTGGGCTTCGAATCCATCCTTTTCATTCTAGTCTATATGCTTTTACAATCAGGGGTGTTTGTTAATCTGTGCCTCGATCTTCTGGCGTATCTTGGCCAAAGTTTGCCGTCTGAGAGTATCCCATTTCCCATCCTCGCAAACATCCACGCCCTCCGACTTGGCAACTGCCCGGGAAAGCCTCTCAACCGCGCGAAGTCTCATACTATCCCATTTGTCAACCTCCTCCTGTCGGGTAATCGCGCTTTCAGGCAGCCCGTCGTCTAGACCTTTTAGCTAGTCCAAGGTTTGCGTCTTTTCGCGGCCAACTAGAGCTTCTTTGAAGAGCCCACGCCCGCGTTGCACATTATAACTAGAGTCCGGAGAAAAAGACTGAAGGCGAGGAGTGGTTACAGGCGAGGGATCGTGTGGCGTCGCCCAGGAGGTACTCCAAGCACCTGGGAAAGGATGCAAGGGAGTAACCAGCGCGGCAGACTTTTTCGCCGTCGGAGCGGCACGAGCCGGCATTTTACCTTTGTGCTGGATCCCTGCTGGCTTTGGGTTATTCGACCTTTGATGCTTGAGCGACTTACTGGACACGGCCGGGAGCCGCCCATGCGAGGGAGCGGGAGGCGGGGAGGCTTGAAGCGGGATGAAAGCAGAAGGAGCCGCATGTCCGGAGTGCCGGCCATCTTCATGCCGGGCAGCCCGGGACCTGCTTAACTGCCGCCCCCTCGAGGACACTACAGCAGTGCGCGGCATGCATTCAAGAGAAACGCACATACAGCGAGCCTAGATTATTTTGTGGTAAAATAGCTAAGCTATGTGGCAATGTAGCCGTTTCCAAAAGAAAAGAGATGTTTGCCGAAAGGTAGGCAGCCAAGAGGGCACTTGGATGTTGGTGTTGAGTAGCCAGCTAGGTGCTATCCATGTCCCTTCTATTGGAGAGCCGTGCAGTTGATGCACTTGAAGTGCCTTCGCCCTTCAGCACAGCATATCGCGCACTCATCCAGCTCGGGGATATTGACGTATTTGCAGGCGCAGCACTGCCACGAACCGGGTCGGTAATTCGGGGGTCGTTCTGACCTGTTCATACATGAAATATGGTCAGCCATGCATTCTTTTTGGATTTGGCATCTGAGCTCCTTTAGACAAAGCCGTCTTCGGCCAATACGCTTTCTCACATCTTTTTCTGATTTTTGTGATTTTTGTGATTTTTCGATATGCGTCTTGATCTTGTAAGAGGTGTGACCAAGGTGCACGGTTTTTGGATTCTTGTGGCTTCTTGAACGGCTTGATGCTGGTGGTTCTGGCTTGCGTCGGATGCTGCGCTAGAACTCGAGGACAAGAAGCAGTCGTGGACATTGTCGGTCTTTATACAGCACCGCTCGACGATGACCGGGCATCCTAATCTTTTTGGGTGAACAATGGCCGCCCGAGTATTTACGTACCGTCCCCGAGTGTCATGGAGGCTCCTGCTACATCCTGCAACTGAGCCTCCACGCACCGAGGCCCATGACACACCTCGAAACCCAGGATGGGGCACGCTGGTCAATGATATGGGATAGAATGTTAGTCCGGCGGAGCTGGCCGCGTTGCCCGCCGGTGGGAGTCGATACATTCGTGCGCCCCACGTGCCCACTCCCTTTTCAGGGGCTAGGGTTGTCGCTACAAGGAGTGCAAAGTCCTTCAAGTCCTCAGGGGCAACACGGGCAGGACTTTTGTCACGAAATCTTCTGGAAGATAGATGCTAACCACCAACCCGGCCGTTCCACGGCCAGTCAGCAAGTCCACCGCCGCCCCAAAGAGGAAGGACCTCGGCCACACTGATCCCAGATGGGGAGAGCGCAATCACGGGGAGTATACGTCCTGCAGGCGCCAGGGGAGGGGGCCTCGGACTTCTAGAAGACTTCCGGGCGGCTCAGCCTCGGCATGAGCGGGCGCCACGCCGTTCGCGGGCCAATGGGAGGGGTATGGTAGCGAAACTCGACGAGGGCGCCCTTCATGGGTCGCCATCGGTACCCGCAGCGACGGGTGGGATCAGGCCGGTTTCTGGAGATGGGAGGTGTGGGGTGGCCGAGGAGAGCCGAGGCCGTGACGCACATCTCTGCCCGGACGGACGCCCTAGCCCACACCGTTTCGTCGCTTGGCGGGCAGCGCGCGTGGGACGCCGGGCCAGGAGGGAGGGTTGGTACCACCCACCCGGGTGCATGATGGCACACGGAGCGCGGCAGGGCTGTCCTAGATCTGATCCCTCCGGTGAGTCGGATGAGGGGGTGTGGGCGGGCGTCTAGCTCCATAGGGAGAACAGGTTCCTAGGGACTTCTCACACGCGCTCCCGGGCCCAAACGTTCCTGCAGGTTATGCCCGGCGGGTCTAGCGCCTCGTGGGAAGTAAGCGTCACATCGTTAGATCTCCTGCTCCATCTAGCGTGGGTGGCTGGGCAGGTTGCGCCGGGCTCATGAAGGAGATAGGAGGGCACCGAAGAGACGGAATCCGTAGAATAGGATGGATATGTGGGACGCGCGCGTCATGGCGGCTCCTCTCGTTGGCGGACAATGGACCGAAGCGGGATCATTCGCGGCCATCCACAGACGCCTTCTACACCCGCTTCCCTCGGCGGCAGAAGCTTTGCTGCGGATGCCCGAGGATCCATGGCGTGACGGAGGTGGATGGGTTGGAACGCTTTCAATGGAACGCTCGTGGAAAAGTCCCATATTGGCGCACAAAATGACTAACCAAACCCTTCTCGGAGTGTACTTATTGGGCTGGATTCAACGAGACCCAGCCCTCGGCCTGCTTTTATTGCTTACGTCGCATCTATTTCAGGGGACTGGCCATGAGGAGGCACTCTGCGGGAGTGCCGTGCTGCGAGCTGGTGGAGCCGTCATCCCCCGTCTGCAACCCCTCCCCTTGCGTCCCGCCGATATGGCGCCGCAGCCTTCCCGTACTGTACCTGCCGAGCACCTCGAACGTCTGTTGACGGGGCCCCGGCGTCGCTTCTCCTATATACTTCCTTCCCTGTTCTTGTCATATCCAAACCTGGCCTCCTTGGCCTCGTCTGGGGCCGATAGTGGTGTGTATCCCCTTGATCTTGATACCCCGAGGTTGGCATCGCGGCAGCGCAGCATGTAAATCACCCACGCCGCCCACCGGGCCCTCAAAGTGCTAATCCACCATCTTCCTAAGCCACTCCCTAGAGGCATCTGGTGCGTCATAGGTGACAACGGCGGCTCTGGGAGAGTATGATATCCCCTATCCGTCGTCATTCCCAATGCTACGCCTTTCATGTTACCATACACCGGCGCGAGTGCAATACTCAACCCTTACTTGTCAGGCGCGGGGCAGTGTCGCTCCATCGATTTCCTTTGCTGCCCCGGGGCTCGCCCGGACAGAATGGGCAAGTTACTGGCTCTGCTGGTGGAAAGAAGAGGTGGGCGGTCAAGATTTGTGCCAAACCGCCAACAAATGCTCCCCTTAACCGTGACGCCAAGACCTAGGAAGCACGAGGCAACTCCATTCCCACTCCTATCGGCATGCCCGAGGACGGGGCAAAAGCTCTCAAATGCACAAGACTTGACAGCTTTCGATCACGCCCTTGATTGGTACCCAAGACGTTGGCTAGCCATCTCACAGTCCTGTTGCTTGTACGACTGGGTTGGTGCGAAGGCGGGACGACGAAAAGCGCAGAAAACCTGTTAAGGATCCTGGGGCTTGTTAGGGAAGCGGCAGCGGGGGCAGGACTGCAACCTCAAGGCGTGCGGCTCTGCGAGCCCAGGTCTCAGATCGGGCCGTTGGGCTGCAGGGCGGCTGTGCCGCCTGCATTTGCTGACAGTTTGCATGTCAGGCAGGCTGCCCTCCCCCGCGGCCCTCCATCTTTCTGCACTTGGCGTTCCCGCACATTTACCCGGTGAAGAGGGTCGGGTGTGATTGGAGGAGGCACAGCACAAGCGAGGTCTTGATGCGACGCCAGAACGAGACGAAAAAGGGCTAAAGGCAGAGCAGGTAGAGGCGTTGTGAGATGAAAAGATATTAGTCTCCTTGAATAACCGCAGGCCCAGGAAGCTGGCTCATGGAGGGCTGGCTGGGCGGGCAGCGATCGAGGGGTGAACAGCCCCACACACACACGGCAATCATCCACCGACCGACGGCTTGGGTTCTGGAGATGAACGGGTAGAGCAAAGAGCAACATCATCTCTCGGCCGAGTGTCTTTCACTTCGCAACCGGCCATGGATCACGGCCGGCACCGAGCGGTGGTGCGTCTTGGCCGGCGGCGCCCTGGGCTGCCGAGCCGAGGCAGAGGTGACCGAGGAGCAGAACCCTAATAGACATGTCTATTCGAGACACCGAACCGGAAGAGGCTAACGGTACCCATCTCGCCGTAGAAAATACCGTTGGATCCGTCAGATTGGATTCCCGACTGTGTCCGGACGAGGGGATGGAGAGTGGTGGGTTGGCAAATGCCTCTCGGCCAAATTGGTCTCCATTGCACTGGAAGATGGGCCCGCTGCGAGATGTCGATGCCCGTCCCAAGCCATGCTTCCGCCCCTCCACCCCCTGATTTCTTGTATCGAGCTTGTGGAGAAAAAACGGACAGTCTGGTGAAGAAGTACGAGATGACAAACAGCCAGTGCTGCTCCAGGACAGATTTCCAGCGTCCCCGGTCATTACACAGCACACCCTCTAACGCCTCAACGCCCGTAGCCCTGCCAAATGTAAATAATAATAAAAAACCCCTCATGTATGTCCTCATTTGTTTCCTCGTTATATCTTTTTTCCCCTTCTATCCCTCGCCCCTTCTCGCCGATGGTGCTTGAACCTCGCGGTTTACACTTGCGAGGAACCCTTGCGCTTGATCATGTACTCCCACGCGACGGGAGGCGCATGTTTTCTTGCGCATTCACCTATTGCCACGCGGTGCGTGCAAGCGCGGGGCTAGTGTCAGCGGACGAGCCGACGTGGCCTCGGATGCGGAAGACGGTCAAAGGCCTACCACACAGGGTTTGCCACAGATAGTGGTTCGCGGTGATGTTCGGCGTGCACCTCCGTCGCGAGTTGATGTACTTCTGGCACCATCTCTCGGCCACAACTCTGTGGTGGCCACATCGATACTCGCGCTAGAGGGGAGATCAAGCATTCTCAGACGTAGTTTAGCAGGGGGCTCTAGCGGTTGCGGGTTGCGGGACCGAAGACAGGGGCCACGGCTTACATCAACCCAATCGCACATTTTCCTGGCTGAACTAGTGGAATCGCCGGCGGGACAGCTTTAGGTTCGGAGGGAAGCGGGAACCCCTAGACCGCAAAGTGGGCTTGGATCTTGTAGGACCGGGCGTTGGAATGGGGCCAAGTCCAGGGTTTGGACAAGAGCAGAGCAGTGTACCTGCAGATATCGATCTGTCTGCGGGGCTACTGACACATGTGAAGGCGGCGCTGGTCAGGTTCCTCTGTTGGACGTGTGGGAGACGGGCGGGCGGGTGTGAATGAAGAGAGATGGGTGGACAACGGGCGCAGTAGGTCCTCCCGAGGAGGATATGCCTGCTTTCTTGAACCAAACCATCACCCACCACCCAGCGAGGGTTGGATGACGGGCAGCCGAACGCCGCCACCACCCACCACCACCCACCGCACCGCATCGTTGGATCCCTGCGCGGCTGGCAGCTCAGACATGCATTCGCCGCGCCGTGTTACCAACAGCATTACGCCACTTAATCTCTAGGGTGCCAAGGGGGCGGCTTCTCGACGCACATCGCCTGCATTCCAAATGGCTCACGGGGTCAAGCCACCGGTGTCGTGTTGGCTCTCCAGGAATCTCTGAGGGGGCATGCTGCCTGTCTCGCCGCGAGCCTTGTCGCCTTCCTGAGCGGGAAGGCAAAAAGGTCCGGTGGACAAATAGCCAAGAAACGTGCAAGTTGCTTTTTATTTTCCTTGTCGCCGTCCAGGGAAGCACGGGGTCGCATTTTGTGTCTATTAGTGGGGGGCACATATCAGGAGGCGGGCTGTATGTCCCGCCGCGCTCTACCCGAGTTGGCGAGTTGGATGCCCGTCTCGCTGGGTGCGGGTGCGTGGCAGATAAGGATGGGCGACGCAAGATGGCCGTGTTTCAGTCGACAACAGCCACATTTGCTAATAGGTTGCTGATACGGACGGGAGGCAGACGTGGCAGAGCAGCAGCTGGACGGCTGTTTGCTCCCTTGCTTTTCGATATGTGATCGATCGGGCTGGCTGAGAGCCCTCTCCATGATCGCAGGGCCGCCTCCCCTCCCTCCCCGGCCGCCGTCGTGCCGTCATCCAGAGGGCTGGACAACATTTCCGCCGGTACGAATTGCTTCTTCTGCTCTCCCTTACTGCCAGGTGAGTAGCCTGATCCTTTTCCCAACCTCCGTCAGCCGTCCGTCGCCAATCATAGGATTTTGCTGGCCCAAGGACGCGGGTGCTGGTGGGCATATATTACGCGTGTGGGCCGTGCGCAGAAGCAAGAACCGGGCTGTCGGGCTCTGGATTGGAGGCTTTGAGTGGGCCCCTGCGCTCTTGCCCCTCCCGGCCCATGCCCCCCCTGTCCTGTCCTCCCTTTTCAGCCCACGCAGGATCTAGCACTGGGCCTTCTTGCCCGATCGTTTGGTCGCTTGCTGCCCGCTCCAGGCCCAGCCGAGCCAGCCCTTCCATCCCATCCCACGCCGAGAAGCCCAAAAAAGGAAACCAGGGGGGGCTACTATTCCCCGGCCGTTGCCCTGTACTGTGTACAGTACGGCTCAGGTTTCCGACCCTTGCTCCCGTGCACCGCACCGACGTGATCCAATCTCCCGCTCGCAGCCACCACCACGAGGTAGAAATCCCATTCCCAACCAAGGGGCGTCATTATCACTGCCAGCAACGCCCGTGTCAGAGGCATGGAAAGCCACACCACCCCGTCCAGCACCTTCAGACAGCCACCGCTGTTGATCAGGACGCGAGGCTGTGCCGCCACTCGCCACCGCAGCCCCGTCCGCGACGCCATCCTGCCAGATGCGGAGCCCGAAGCGCTTCTTTGCAAGCCCGTCGCCGGAGCCACAGTCCGAGACCGGTGACCATGCCCGGCTCGGTCTGCCCAAGTCGCGCTTCACCTTCCGCCACCTGTCCCAGCTCGCGGCCTCCAGCGTCACGTGCCCACTCCGCGTTATCGCCCACATTGACCTTGATGCTTTCTATGCTCAATGCGAAACCGTGCGTCTGGGCATCCCTGAGGACAAACCATTGGCGGTCCAACAATGGTACGTGACTTTGCTTCTGCTTCATCCCTTCACCGCCCTCCGCACTGCCTCGTCGCCTTGCGGCCAAAATGGACCGAGTGGTTGTCTCTCAATTTTTGGGTAGTCCTCGGTTGATCCATGGCGATCTTACCATCGATGCCGTCTGGAAACTGCCTGTTGGCTGAAACAGTAATAAGCAAAAAGGCAAGGGTTGATCGCGGTCAACTACCCAGCGAGGAAGTTTGGCATCAATCGCCACTGTCCCATCGACGAGGCACGGAAACTGTGCCCGGAGCTGATTTGCCAGCGTAAGTTGGTCGTCTCGACTGCCCCTTGGCTTCGCCACCCCCAGACTCCCTGCTGTCCAGGTGCTGAAGCCGTTGTAGATGTTGCAACTTGGCGCGAGGGCGACGACAAGTGGGCGTATCGCGACGATGCTGCCGCAAACATTGGCACCGACAAGGTGTCGCTGGACCCCTACCGGCTGCAGTCTCGCAGGATTTTGGCCTTGATCAAGGAGTGCCTGCCTCCAACTCAGTGCAAGGTTGAAAAGGCGAGCGTTGACGAGGTGTTTATCGATCTCTCGGCCAACGTGCATACAGTCCTCCTCGAGAGATTCCCTGAGCTCGCGGCAACCGCTCCGCGGCAGGACCCATTTGAAAACCTGCCACCGCCTTCATCCACTGTCCTAGACTGGCAGTCCGACAACCTCGTTGACCTGGATGAGGTCGAGGCCGAGACTGACGACCCGGATTGGGACGACGTCGTGCTGCTTCTTGCCTCTGAGATTGTCCGCAACATCCGCCTGGCCGTCCGTGAACGCCTAGGCTACACGTGTTCTGCTGGAGTCGCTAGCAACAAGCTGTTGAGCAAGCTTGGCTCGGCCCATCGCAAGCCAAATCAACAAACAGTCATCCGAAACCGTTCGGTACATCACTTCCTTTCGGATCTCAAGTTCACCAAAATTCGCAACCTTGGTGGCAAGCTCGGCGAACAGGTCGTCGAGGCCTTCGGTAGCGATTCTGTCTCAGAGTTGCTTGCCGCTCCCCTTGAGTTGCTCAAGGCAAAACTCGGCGCCGAAAGTGGCACGTGGGTTTACCATATAATACGGGGCGACGATGCTGGTGAGCCTGTCAATTCGCGCACACAAATCAAGTCAATGTTATCGGCAAAATCCTTCCGCCCAAGCATCAACAGGCCTGAGCAGGCGGCTAGCTGGCTGCGAATATTTGCTGCAGACATCTTTGCCCGCCTTATCGAAGAGGGAGTTCTGGAGAACAAGCGCCGGCCGCGGACCATGAATCTACATCACCGAAATGTGGGACAGACACGCTCACGCTCGTGCCAAATCCCGCAAGGCAAGGCCCTGGACGAGCAAGTGCTATATGAGCTCGCACAGACTCTGCTGCGCCAAATCGTGGCCGAGGCCGGTAGTGAGAGGGCCTGGTCCTGCGACAACCTCAGCCTTCAAGTGGCAGGGTTCGAGGATGGTATTACGGGCAATATGGGAATCGGTGGGTTTCTGGTCAAGGGCGAGGAGGCCCAGGCACTCAGGTCCACAGCTCGTGAAGGGAACGCCATCGCAAGTGCACCAGCTAGAGCACGGGCCGATGCTGCCGCCGGCCAGGCATTACCTGGAGCCAAACGGCGGAGGGTCAACGATGGCGGCATCCAGCGATTCTTTGCCAAAGGAAGTGCGCCGAACACTGGCGCCAACCTTAGAAACGACGAGGGAGGGAGCGCCCAGACCGCCTGCAGCCAGCACCGACAGCCATCCTCCCTCTCATCTGGGACAGCAGCAGACAGGGACTCTGCAGTCGGTGCAGAGCCGATCGAGGAAGTCGGCAGAAACCAACGGGTACATGGCGAGGACGCACCTGACACATATCCCACGGTACCACAGGAGGCGGGCCGCCAAACATGCCCACCAGAAGGAGCGGCCTGTCGCATCTCGTCAAACCGGAAATCACCAGACCAGGTTGTTACAGCCATTCGAGAAGACGCCAGGCAATGGCCTCATGATAACGACCTCCGGATACCAGCCATGAATGACGCCGATGGGGATCAAAGCAACTGCCCTCGCTGCGGCCTCTCGTTTGACGACGGCCGGACCGGCGGCCTGCTGCTGCAGGACCATCTCGATCATCACCTCGCCGAAGACCTCCAGGAGGAGGAGGAGCAACGTGGCGTTTCCGTATTTGCCCGACGGCAACAGGCTGTGGTGCCTCGTACGCCCGGTAGCAGCGGCAGAGGTGCTGGCCGCGCTGGTGCCTCCAGAGGAGGTTCCAGGGGCAGAAGGGGCGGACATGCGTCGGCGTCTTCGGGTTCTTCTTCGTCGAGGAGGCCCAAGGCGGCGGCCCTGGATCCGGGCCAGAGCCGATTGAACTTTGGGTAAAAGCGAACACCCGCTTGACCACTCGGAAACGAGGGCA